TAAAGCTGTTTTGAGCGTAAAGTTAGTAATCTAGCACAGTGCATTTTAATGGGGTTGCATCTGATATGAACTGGAGTTGATGAAAACACTCTGGAAGTGTAATGGGGTTGGTGCTGTGCTTCAGGCACGTTACGCTGTGCTGCGGACGTCTCTGTAGTCAAAACTTGTTACTGTCCGCGTTGGGCAGCAGCATGTGAAATGTTCCTTGTCAAGCAGTACATGTGTGTTATGATAAATCAGACACAGACATTTAAAAGCAATTCTCCTAAGCAGATGTTTGTGCTGGGAATGGATAGGGAAGAACTGAACATTAGCAGTGGTCTGTCTGGAAAACATTTATGCAGTACTTTTATGTATTCCTGCCACTTTTTTTTTTCCATCAAGCTTTCTGTTCTTTTACCATAACTCCGAGAGTTTATCTTTGCCCTTTCGTTTCTGTCCTCAGTAGCTTTTGCTTTCTCTTCCTGTGTTTCACTTTTCACTCTCCTTGTTTTCTTAACTGTGGTGAGCAGACTTCTGTAAAATAGGAAACCTGCCTTCTGGTCCCTGAAAACAGCCAGGATTTGGGCTCCTTTGACTGTCTTTCTGTAGAGATTACTGGTTTGGAGATTTTAACCTCACTTTTTTGTGATGTTTTTTCCATGGTAATCCCAGAGCGGATGTTGTCTCACTAAATGCTAGGAGAGGTGCATTGCACAACAATCCCAATCGAATAAGGGACAACTTTTGTAGGAAATTGGGTAAACTTGAAGGGTTAAAAAAAACAACTAAACAAAAAACTGTGCAGTGGAGCTGTGTTAGTCACTGAATTCCCTGATTCTAGTGACTCAGTAAACGCAAACTGTCGCCCTGTTATCGAACTGCATGTTGCAGTCTGTTTTATTTGTTCTGTTGTCTGTGACGTTAAGTAGTAGAACTGAGAGTACACACACAGGTACTTTTAGTGACGACGAGCATCTGTAGTGTTACGGTCCTGAAGAAGAATGCTGAAAACCCAGTGACATTGCTCACTGGCTTGTGTGCTTCCACGTGCTGGGGTAGAGGAGGAGATGACAGCTCAGGGTATGAAAGTCTTTCAGAGTAGATATGCTGAGCTCCTTGTTACTTGACGTAGGGTATGTCAGGTTGTCTGTTATTATTGTTTTTCCTTTTTTATCAGAAAATGTGCTGACTTGGCCCTTTCTATATAAAAAGCATTTCCCTTATTACATAGTCAGCAAATAACGCAGTTGAGGTATTTCCGAGGCATCAATGGCACGTGCTTGTACTATTCTTGGGAAAGAGTACAGGAATATATCGTTTAAATATATCTCCTTTTAAAACACTGTAGTTGAGTTACATTTAAATGAATTCTGGAGGTTGCAGTGTCCAGAGGTCTAATGTTATGGAGGGAAATGAAGTCATTTTTCTTTTAGTGCTAATAGAATTAATGCAACCAGCAGCTCCTGTAACACTATTTGTGTGTTGACACCATATAAATACCATGTTTATGAAAAATAAATTGAAAGGCTGAGGTCTCGCTTTAAGTTTCTCGTTTGACCTTGAAAAACATTCCCAGATGGAGAGAGTTAAATGAGGCCAGCTCTGAAAGAGGAACATATGAATCATGGTTGCTAGGCTCTTCCATCAGAGGCACGGGCTTTACATTTACAGCCAAGTATTTCAAAAAGTAATCTTTCAACTCGGAGGAACAGAGCATCTGAAATGATACTGGTGAAGTACCATAAACTTCATTAGACTTTTAAAATAGTGAATTTGCATGTCGTTAAGTGAAATAGGTATAAAGTACTAGGAGAATATCAGCTGCAAGACTTCTGAACTTGTACGAGGGGCGGGTTGTGGGGGGAGCAGAAACATTAAGCATCCATCTCCAAGTTCTGTTAAACTCTGCTGTATATCTCTAATATATGCAAGAAATATTTCTTGTCATTCTCCTAGCAATTCCACGTCGGTGTTTGCTGTATTGGAGCGCAGAAACAGAAATAAGACTTCCCTGAACACCGCTCTTGCTCTGTTTGACTAGAGTGAAGTGAGGCACATTAAAAGCACGGGAGCTTACGTGCCTAAGACAGGCTCTGTTGGGCAATGTGGATTCGGGTCGGAGCTCTTTTCTAGACGTCTTAGCTGGTCTTGGCTGGATAGCAATCTTTAGAGTGTCAAACCCATTGTTAAACTAATCTTTGGATCTCCGGGAGGTGTTCGTGCTCCTTGTTGCCCACTTACCCTTTGGACTGTCTGTGTGCGTCCGTGCAGTGCTCAGCATCGGTGGGTGCCATCCTTGCTTGGAGCCCTGCAGGTTACTCTAACAAAAAGATTTTCTGGCATCTATCTTAAATAAATGCTTTGATAATAAAAAGCTATAGTTTATTTACCAGGTAGGAGAAAACAAGGGATTTGCGTTGCCTTTTGGTACTCCCTCGCTGGCTGCATTAAATGATGCTCGGTTATCAGTGGTCGTGGCACTCTAGGGGGAGGAAGGTCTTTGAAACTGGCTCCCGTGGTCTGGCTGCAGCCTCCTGCCTGACTTCCTTTGAAATCACTTGTGATTTTGTGTGTGCAGCAAATCCTTTTTTCTGTGTCAACTGGTTTCACTCTTAGAATTTGATCTTTCTTAAGAGTTTTTGTATTTAAGTGTTCTGGCAGTGGTTTCTATTGCTTGGAGCTTTGACTTTAAAATTCTAAAGAAGTGCTTCTTGGTGTAGGGGGGTGCTTCTAAATGCTTCAGATTTCTTGGGATCCCGAAACTGAAACGGGAAAACACTTGTTTACACCGATGTCTGCTAGTTTGCTTCACTTGTAGTGTAAAATGAAAGCTCTGTATTTCCAGCAAATCTTCGTAAGAAGGTGCTTGAATAGAGAGAGCGTGACTAATGCCAAGGAGGGCTTTGTCTTGGAAGATGCACAGCAGTAGGAAATCCTTCTCTTGGGTTAGAGGTTTTATTCCCCCAGCCTTGCGATCTGTAGATCTGCTGGTGTAGAGGCCGTGAGTTCAGTGTTGTCTGAAAAGGCTTGGTTATGGGAGCAGGTTACAGGGTGTGGATTTACACTTCGTTAGATATTATACAGTAGTAGCCTGTCTGTGTGCTATTACCAATGTAAATAGCAAGCAGTGTACACTGTTATTGTCCCATTCATCACGGCGTATTAGGAGTCAAATGGAAGTGACCGTGGACTATTTGTGGAAACTTTCATGCAGGCGTACCCAAAGAACTCCTGAATGCAGTATTAACCAAAGGCAGCTAGGTTTATACACATTTATTTTCCTTAACCAGCTTAATGTTAAATCACAGAAAGTAGACATTGAAAAACAGAAGTTTGCTGTTCCTATCTCATTTTCTCCTGGGGGCTGCTTACAGGGTTTTGCCTAGTTAGCAGTAAGATAGGTGTGCCTGAGGTCTTGAACCATTTCTCTTTGCAAAAATATCATACAAATGAAAAAACAATGGAAGACTCAGTACTCAATGAAGTGCAAATCAGTTTATAACTTTTTTTTAATGTAACCACAATTGCTTGAGAAGTGCCTGTGATTTAGATAAGCATAGCTGTCATCTGTCACAGCCACTTAAGATGTCCATGGTCATTGTATTTGGGCCCAAATGCAAAATCTGGTTGCAGCTGTTACTACAGGTATGGTATTTAATTGTGATAGAGCACTAATAAGGTTCTTGGAAAACCTGGGAGACCTCTTTATTTTTTTAAAGAGAAATAATTAATTTTTTGAGGAAAATGGTTATCACAAAGGGAGCCCTTAGTTCTGGAAGCTGTTCAGTGTGGGTGCATTCTTTTGTCTGCGAGAAACAAAGTGGAGTCGGGGGGCTCTGCAGGGATGACAGCATTGTGCTGCCGTTGTTTACCTTGGGTTGTGTCACATTCATTCTTAAAATGTGTCCTACTCCAGTTATTTAACAATTACTCTTTCATTCATGAACAAAGATATTTTTCTTATCAAATATAGCATGATGCTAAAAATGCACATAGACAAATTAATAACTTCAAAACGAAACTCTGGGGTCAGCTCTAGCACACAGGTGCATAAATTTAACTCTTAATTTCTAACTTACTGTTAACTTATAAATTGATTGCTGAGTATTCTTAGAAGAAAATAAGTTTTATTATATTGGTCTTAATTAAATAGTGCTGTAGATCTTAGCCATGCTCTTTGGCAGTAATGAATTTATACACTATTATGTGTGCAGTTTCCTTTTTTTTTGGTCTTCTAGTGAATAATATTTAGTTGTATTACTGCAATAGACCTTTAAGTTTTATAGTGAATGTTGTACATAATGCCTCGGTAATCTATGAATGCAGTTTTAAACGTTAAACTGTACTCTAAACAAACTGTATTCTTAAAAACAACATTGCAGAAACTTCTTTTTATTAGTAAAAGTCTGCAAGTATGTGTGTTATCTCCAAAATCCACACATGCTCAGACATACTGTTATCTCTCTATTTCTCTCTCATATAGCTGTTACACAGATCTCTGGCAGCAGATGGCTGGACTATAATGCACTGTTAAACAAATAAAACCATTAGGCATGTAATACTGCCTGGTAAATGACTGTTCATCTAAAATGGTTAAAAAATAAATAAATAGAAAATAAACTTCATTTTAGAACTCATTTAATGAAATTGGAATAAAATCCAAACCCGTTTCAGCACACATAAAGCATCCCCTCTTATGTTGTGTCTGCCATTTGAAGTCAGTCTTTTATTCCGTTCTTACATCTGGTATAAAATAATAAGTCCTAAATCAGATTTCTAATAAATGTTTTCTACAAATAATCGCTTATTTTACATTTATCTTTGTAGGAAGATTTTTGCTTTTGTAATACTCCAGCACAAAATTATCCATTGCATTATATGCTTTTTTCTCATTTTCAAATTTTAAACAAATGTATTAAAATTATGATTCAACACTAGTGTCATGGCTCTGTAATTAAACTGTTCTTCAATAATTGTAAGCAGCTGAGAGATATGCCATTTTGTCTTTTTGTTTTTAGATATGCCAATATTTGGTCTTTGCCCGGCTCATGATGATTTCTATTTGGTGATGTGTAACCACTGTAATCAGGTCGTAAAACCACAGGCATTTCAATCACATTATGGTAAGTGCTTAACTATTTTTAATAATTAAGGGTGAGGTTAAATCAGGATTAAGCCTGGCAATTTTTTTTTTTAAATTGATGGTACATGGATCATTACGTTATAAATAATGTCAAAGAACATAACCTGTGTTTAATCATTTTATATACATTGTAATGCAGTTACGTGAAGATCTTGTTCCTTTTTAATTTTTTAATGTCTTGAAACACTGCAAGCCTGCAGTTCAATTTTGAAATGGCATATATAGTGTATTTCACAGATGGTTTGTGCAGTGTGCTTGTGTCTGAGTGTGTCATTTCTCCATGTCTATTTATACTGATTATTTCTACATGAGGTTCTGTTGCAGTGTGAACTTAGCTAAAAGCTAAGCTTACAAATTCTGCCCTATAACATAATACTTTTCCAAAGGAGTAGTAAGCTTATTTATTTCTTTTCAGAAGTATCAATCTGTATTTGTTTTAATGGTCAGATGGTTTTGTATATAAACTGTGCTGGGAAGCTCTCATGTTGGTTGGTGCTAGCCAATGTTTACAGAGGACTGACAAAACGTGAAGTACTATGCAAGTTCAAGTGTTCTCTCACTTCCTACAGAATGTAACCGGGGGAGGTAGGCAGTTCTTCTTTTCCATACACCTCTCAAGCCTAGTAGAAATTAATATCACACATTTTCGTGTCAATATTTGAATAGGAGGTTCTCAGTGTTCAGCTTTTCGTTTCTTGAGAAATCGAGGAGATGTATTGGCACTTGGTTAGGAAACAAAAGATAGACAAATATTCTTCTGAACTACTCCCTCCTCCCTCTGTGTGTGTCTGTCTGTGCGTGTTCCCTTTCTTCCAAGCTTGTCTTACTGCTTAAAAGGATAGAAGGTGCTGGATATGGGTGGGAAGCCTCTCCCAGAGCTCAGAGCAAGGCATAACTTTTCTTGCATCTTAAATACTCCAGCCCTTTGGCAAGAGATGTACTTGCTCCTGCTGCTTCCTAGAGACTGGGAAAGAGTCTTCCTGTGCTGTGCAGAGGGTGCGCTGCTTATTCCTTTCCACCTCTCCTTGGTTTTTGTGTTACGATGCCATGTGAATTATGTCCCTAACCTTGCTGCTGGATTTCTGCAGTCATGTTGCACAGAGTGACTCAGAGAAGAATCTGATAGGTGTTATGACATAATTCTTACTGGTTTGCTTGTCATCTATGGATGGCAGTAGTAATAAAATAAAATATTAAAAAAAATAATAATAATAATAAAAACTTGTCTCCAGGGCTGCAGGGAGCCAGGAGAACAGAAGGCAGCATGCTTTTCTAACGCTGGGTGCTCTAAGCCTTTGTATCAGCTGAGAGTAAGTCCAGTCCTTGCCAGTGTGATTCCTCACCTGTCACTGAGTATCAGTTTGGGATGTCCGATAAGTCCTTCTAAAATATCATATTAAATTGATTCTGACAGTTAAAAATAAATGTATGGGGGAGGACTGGACGGTACCCAGTTCTGAGTGCTGGCATATTGAGTCTTCCGTCTCAAGGTCAGGAGTACAGGGCTGGCGCAGGTTGGTACTGATGGAGAGCTGCTGGCATCTGCAGACTCTTTGGGCTGACTTTCTGAAATGAGTTGATCTCCAACCACCCATCTTTGTAAGGGGGTATCCATGCTCTAGGAGCCAGTATTGCAGCTGCAGGTATGACAACCTTGTGGGCAGATTGAAGAAAGAGTTCAAGAGCTGAACAGGCACAGCATCGCTCCTTGGCCACAGCTGGGTGCTGTAATGCTGCTTGTATCAGTGGTAAACACGTTACAAGAGGTTTACTTTATTCTAATTCAAACCCTTCTGTAAGCAATACTTGCAATTTGAAAGGAACAGAGTGAAGAGGAAATTACAAAGTGAAGGTGTAGAAAACGTTTCTAAAAGATTAAAGAAGAAATACTAACGTGATGTTCCTATTCTGTATCACGTTGTAGGAGCACGATCTCTAAGTAGTAAGGTTTCTCGAATGTAAACCTATTAATGGCAGATTGATACTTAGAAGTGTAGAAGGAAGGGATGGAAATGACAAGGTTATTCTTAGTATTTCTTAAGCCCATTCTGAACAATGAAGACGCTAAACAAGTGCTGCAGCTTGCAGAGGAAATGGGAGGAGCCAATCTGATGAGAAAAACAGGCTTGGGTGGGGTGTAAATTATTAAAAGACCTTAGTTTGCCAAACTAATAGCCTCAAAAAGGTAAGAGGGCTGACTTTGATTTTGTATAGAGCTATCAATCTTGTCTCCTTTTTTATCAGTCTTCACATTCTCGAAACACAGTTGGCCCTCGTTTTACCAAACCGAATGTGAAAGCTGGTAATAGGAGAGGTGATTGATTGCCTCAGCAGTGGAGTCTTTTGCTCAGTATACTGAGAGAAGGAAATTACTCAAGTGCTCAAAACATAACAGTTCTCCTAAAAGACAAAGTACAATATCATGATACCAAGAGGGGAAAAAAATTGGATTCACCAGAGTCTGTTTTCCCTGAATGAGGTCTTCGTCTGTGGCTTTATTTCAGAGATTTAAAAAGGAGCGATTTCTTTTAGCATGTTCTCAAAAATCACAGTGCATCACTGAAGCTGTACCTTTCTGTAACGTTCTCAGTCTTCAGAAGTTATTTTAAATTGTTACCAGAGAAATGGTAATCTCTTAAAATATTCTACAGTTTGCAGTGGTATGTGTTGCTTGTACTTGGTGTTCTTTAAAATCTGTCACATGGGGTTTTCTGAATTAGAATATTCTCTGTTAAAATGTCACTTATGTCAAAGGAATGGTAAACAAACTATTAACTAAGCCTAATGAGCTAATTAATTTCTTCCAAAGCATATTTGTGATAAACTGCTTAGGTAGGCTGAAAGTGCATTGCAGGACATTTGATAGTTCGCTTTTTTTCTAGAGAATGTGCAGTCAGAAATAATTTAAATGTAAATGTATTTATCAGAATATTTTACCTGTTCAGTAAAATACTTTACTGATACAAGTCACATATATTTGTATAAAACACGCTTTTATATTTCATGTTTTTTAATGCAGCTAGAAGAGATACTAATTCAAAATTAAATTTCGCTTGAGGCAATCGAAGTATATGTTTGGAGTATGAATTGCCATTTTAACAACTTATTCTGTACTATGGATTTATGCTATCATTGATTTGTGAAATTGTGTGGTGTTTGGTATGCACGACACCGTGTGTAGTGGTCAAAATCTGTCAGCAGTTTTCAAAAGCAATCTGATACCAAGAATTATCTCAAGTCCACTTCTGATATTCCTTCGATATGGATGGGCCATTATTAAATGTAATTGCCTACACGGTAAACAGCCTGTTTTTAAGTACATAGAGCTAGATTTCTCCTGGTCTGTGTACAACAGCTGCCTGCCAGCATGCTCAAATTGCTTTCCCCTCTTGCTGTAGGGCGGTAGCAGGGCAGGGGAGCCAGCCGAGGAGGGGCTGGCCGGCTTTTCAGAACAAATCATCGCTCTGTCAGACCTCAGCTGCTTCATCCGCGGGACTGAACAGATGATTTCAGGACTTTACTGCCAGTATTCTTGCTGCTGCTTTTTGAATGGCTGCATTTTTGTGGTATCAGCATCTTCCTTGGATGAGTCAAGATCAATCAAAGGTGGAGGACTGACAAAGCTATAACGTGCAGGCTTTCTGTCCTATGGGCGAAGCACCTGAGATCTCTTATCATGCTGTCCTCTTCTGAAAAAACACAGTGTTTATCTTCAGTTGCATTTGTCAGGATGGTGCCAGCCTCTCCACCTTCCATGCAGCATATTCTCTCCTCCTGTATTTAAATTGGGTGTGTTTCTGGAGTGCATGCACAGTTTCCACTCGTACTATGTTAATTCTTACAGTAAACATGACTTTGCTGTCTGTCAAATTGCTCACCCTCATACTTGTCTGGAATACCTCCTTGGCAGCTAGCAGGGTATGTTTGTGGTAGGACCAAATGTGTTCCTTTTGTTTCTTCTCACTTTTTCCCATTAAAAGCCATTCTCTTTATGTAGATGGTTGCTGTATTACAGCAAAACATTGCTCTTTGTGGAAGCCATTGCTACAGCTAGTTCAGGTAGCTCATGGAAACCCTGAAGCGACATGTTTTGGGGGCCGTATGACCTTTTGCTGGTATTTCAGCCGTTCCACGGGTTTATCGTGTCTCTCTGTGGTTATCAGCTTCTCGTCTGGAAAGAGCTGCTTCTTTTCACCATCCGTGCTGGTTTGTGGCTCAGAGGAGCGAGGAGATAGCTCGCTGGTGTGGATGGAGCATCAGTTTAGAGATACAGATTTCCTTCCCTCTGATTTTTCCTTTTATTTCTTCCTTCTTCTGCAGAGTTTCTTGGTTCACTTGTGCTTTGGCTTCTGTAAACATGCAGTGGGGTTATAACTTCCCAGCAATCTGTAGGAAAACATAAGGAAGGCTACCTGTGAAACATAAGCTGATAGCGCTTGTGAGTCATGCGGTGATTGTGGAAACCATTAATTCAGCGAGCACTGGAAAGAGACCATTACAGTGTGTCAGGTTGTTGAGTCATTAAAGAGCTATGCCCAATGTTTTGATTAACTTTCATAGGTTTGGCATGCAGTAACAAAGGTGAGCACCTACCTGAGCATTGCTTTCTGCTGCTCTGTGAGCCAAGGGGAAACTCCTAAGCATTGGAGTTTCTGCTCAGGGCACATTTAAACCTGAAGGAGTAACGACACGGATTTGCACATCTGAGCTATCTAGGAGGTGGTGGGACTGGAATAGAGACCAGCACCCAGTCTTATTCTCAGCCTGGAGAGACGAACAGGGCAGATCCTGGCAGCAGGGACAGACGTTCACATGCTTGGATCCAGAAAATCACTGTAAAGTCTCACACAAATCTTTCATCTGTGTGTACCTCTGATTGTATAACCGTATTCCTTCCTCCCTCCACCAGTTCTCACACCCACCCTTAGTTAGCAGGCATACTGATATGGCTTGTCATAAGTAGTGGTGTTTTTTTTTATT